TTTAATTCTAAGGACAAAATGATTAGTCAAAAGCCCAGTGTTGCCAATGTTCATGTAACCATATTACCTAAAATATGGGAAATTGGGTTTGAAATTAACTTCAATCTATTATTTATTATTCTTTTTTATCAGATTTCCTAAAGAAAATGTAGTATGGAGAAATTACTGGAAAATTAATGATTTCCAAACAAATATGTAGTAGTGTCATTTTTAGTCTTCATTTTGAAGCTCAAGACTTATATACAACTAAAGGAGGACTCCGGCATGTTATTACGTATGCATTACCTCAAAAGGTTGATTAAAATTTTTAACCGAATTCGAAAAGAAAGAGGTTCGCAATGCGTCATATTTGTTATTTTTTTATTGTTGTTCACGCAAATCTCCGAGATTCGTGGACCGTTTATGATGATTCTTTTTTGTTTTAATCAGTTTACTAGCGAAATGGCTGCATATTAATTTACTGGAGATCTGATGAGTAATTTCGGAGGAAAACAATGGAACTCCTCAATTACAAACAGCACTCAATGGGTGTTAGTTTATTTTAAGAAATATGAAAGAGAATGCAGGCCAGGCCATCTATATTTAGTTGATTTACCCAATATTAAGAAAATTCGATACATTCTAGAATTTCTAATGAGTCCCGACTGTTAAAGTAACTTTGTTCCTTATTAAACAGAATTCTAGACTACTGGACTTGTTTTTTTCTTTTTAGTACATTTTTTTTATTTATTTTTTTTAAGTTCATTATTTTTTAATTACAAGAGTTGTATATTTTCTAAATATTCTTTTAAAACCCTTCACTTTAATACCTCGCTTGACGGGTTATAAAAAAACTTATACTTTTTTTTCAAAATGTTTCATTTTGGCGCATAAAATCTGTTATTTTGATTTTTTTGAAATTTTAATATACCGAGTGCCACTCACACAATCACGACAAATCAAATGATACCTCGCATGTCAAAATCCGTCAAGACGTTCAGGCTGTAGGGCGTGCCAAATTATTGGACATACATACATACATGGGCAAAAAGTAAAATTTTGAACAATCAAAATATTTTCATGTTTTAACTGTGTTTTATTGGTAAAAAATTGGCTAACCTAGCAACCCTACAATTCACTCACTCATCAATAGCAGCCGCCATTACGGTGCCTCAGTATTGTTTTAGCCGAAACTCTGTCCGCTTTTTTTTATACGTCCATGGTCATAACCTACTATTTTCAATAACAATCTTTGTAATCTGGGTGACACATCACATAAACTTTTTTGGAAAATTGACTCCAATGGCCTATGATCACTTTGTACTTTAATTTTCCTTCCATAAATAAAATAATGAAACTTCTCCACTGCAAATGTAATAGCTAAAAGTTCCTTCTCTATTTGTGAATACATTTGTTCTGATTTATTTAAACTTCGTGACACAAATCCTATAGGATGATTATCTTGTAACAAACATGCACCCAAACCATCTTTACTAGCATCACATTGAACAACAATTTCATTTTTAGAATCAAAGTATTGCAACACTAGTGCTTCTGTAATAATTTTTTTTAGATAAACTAATGCATTTTCATGAACTTTAGACCATACCCATGGGACATTTTTACAAGTTCAATTCCTTAATGGTGCTGTAATTTTAGACATATTTGGTATGAATTTGGCTAAAAATTTTGTAATTCCTAAAAATCTTAATAATTCAATTTTATTTGTTGGTGTTTTAAAATGATTAATAGCTTGTACAAATGACTGATCTGGAGTTATACCTTCATTAGAAAAAGATTGACCCGTATACTTAACAGAAGTTTGCCTAAATTGAAACTTATCCTTGTTAAATTTAATATTAAACTTTTGTGCTACTTGTAATACATTCAATAAATTTTTATCATGATCATCTCTATTAGACCCTGAAATAATTAAATCATCACAGTACCCCTGGTAGATCTCCATTCTTTTTAGATGCTATTACCAATGAATTTACCCAATCTGTTGGCCCTTCCACTTTAGCTATTATTTTCAACTTTTCCAATTCATTCAATTTTGCTTTTAATTTATCTTGTATAGCCAGAGGGACATTTCTTGACCTATGAATATGTGGTGTACTATTTGCTTTTAATTTTATTTTATACTTTTTTGGGTATCGTCCCAACCCTTGGAATACATCTGAAAATTGTTCCAATAAATTTTCTTTACTTGAAATAAAATTTATATTCTTAATGATTTCCAATTGTAGACAATTTTGTAATCCTAGTATAGGAATACTTTTCTTGTCAACAACATAAAAAATAATTTTGAATTTCTGTTGATTGTACTCGCATTGTTAATTAATTTTGCCTAATGGCTTTATTTCTGCTCCACCAAAAGCTAATAAAATGGTATTTGTTTTCTCCAACTTTGAGCCCTCATCCTTGATTTTATTATATATGTTATATGGTAATATGTTTGATTCCGCACCTGTATCAATCTTAAAATTAACTTATTTTCTATTATTCAAAGTTAATATTTTATACCATGCCTTGCTATTTTGGTCACTAATAGAAAATATTCGTGACATATTATCTTCCTCAGAGCTATTATTATCATTTGCTATTTCATCACACTTAATTTTTGAAGTAAATTTTGTGTCACACATTTTTTTAAAGTAACCCAACCTACCACAACTGTCACACTGTTTTTTAAATGCCGGACATACATTTATTTTGTGTGAGAATCCACACCTGGTACAATTATTTATCCTTTTGTTTTTCTGAGCATACCCTATGGTTTTTTTCCTCATTACATCTATGGACTCATGCATATTACAGCTACTCGTTTCTTGTAGCTGGACAACAGTTAGTCCAGTCATTATATACATTTGGAAATGCAAATGAACCGAGAAAGCCAAATTTTGGATATTACGTGGGGGGTGGCTAGAAAAGCTTAAGTTCAAATTGTCGACCAAAAAAACCTTGTGGGTTTTCCGCCATCTTGAAAAAAGGGTTAAACTCAGTTTTTTTATCATAACTCGGTTCCCCGTCGAGATACGAAAATTTTTATGGAATACTTTTTTGTTGCTCTTTGTACGATCTACAATTAAGGTCCTACACATTTTTCGCGTATCGACCATCGTTATCGAGATATCGATAAAAAAAGCCACAAATTTTGGGAGAAATTTATTTTTTTCGCTATTTCCTTCTTTCTCGCGAAAAATATCGAAAAATGTTTCGAATAAAACTTGTAGAGCCTGTTCAGACCTACAAATTCGTTTTTTAATTTTTCATTTTCGAGAAAAATTACGACCTCCAGCGCGCCGCAAAGTGAGTAAGACTGTGCCCGGTTTCGATTTAGCCGCTCGCACGGTTGTATCCACAACGTAAAAATTGATGAATTATTGGTTAAGGGATTTATTGCTATACAAAATAAATGAATAATCCAGCCAAATTATAAATCAAACACATGAAATTTATTAATCAAAAAATGTTTATGCAGCAAAAATAATAATCTTACACGTGGTCATTTTTGTCACACGTTTTTCTTCGTTTTGATGGTCCTGGCTGCTGTTGAAGTTCCTCCTCGGTACACTTTGAAGTATTGGCAATACAATAATAATCAAAAATTAGATTTATTTGTAAATTTTTCTTACTAAAAAATGTTTCTCACGCTAAGCAGCCTTAATTAAAAATACTCTAGTAATTTTAGGTTTAATTTAAACAAAAATCCCAAAACGAAAATGAAAAGGTAACACTGTTCATTTCGTCAATTTGAGGTTAAAATTTCGAACAATTATCTGTCAAATTCAACTTTTAGTTCAAAAGTTTTGTGAATTAGAGTAGGCTTAGAGAATTTAAACGTCAAACTATTTTCGGACGAACGAATTTTCGAAATGAAATAGAAACAGAGTAAGGAACGTGCGATATTTCGATCGAAATTTCGTTTTTCGTTGAAATAGAGTAGGCCTCCTGACCCATGCCGACACTCCAACCGTCGCACGTCCGCCATGGCGCGACGCACATTCCGGCGTCGGGCGCATTGGCGCCGACTTTGCGGCGCGCTGGAGGTCGTAATTTTTCTCGAAAATGAAAAATTAAAAAACGAATTTGTAGGTCTGAACAGGCTCTACAAGTTTTATTCGAAACATTTTTCGATATTTTTCGCGAGAAAGAAGGAAATAGCGAAGAAAATAAATTTCTCCCAAAATTTGTGGCTTTTTTTATCGATATCTCGATAACGATGGTCGATACGCGAAAAATGTGTAGGACCTTAATTGTAGATCGTACAAAGAGCAACAAAAAAGTATTCCATAAAAATTTTCGTATCTCGACGGGGAACCGAGTTATGATAAAAAAACTGAGTTTAACCCTTTTTTCAAGATGGCGGAAAACCCACAAGGTTTTTTTGGCCGACAATTTGAACTTAAACTTTTCTAGCCACCCCCCACGTAATATCCAAAATTTGGCTTTCTCGGTTCATTTGCATTTCTAACCCGATTTTTCCGACGTAATGACTGGACTAAGTGGACTCTGCTGCTTTGCCCATATCAATGGCCTTTTGTAAATTTAGCTCTGGTTCTCGTAACAAGCGTTTCCTTAAATTCAAACAATTTATTCCCAATACAATCCTGTCTCTCACCATTTCTTCTGGATTTTTATAATTGCAGGTTTTACAGGCTGTTTTCAATTCTGTTACAAAATCGTCGAACGTCCGTCCTGGTTTCTGTATCAACTTGTTAAATTTATACCTCTCAAATATAGTATTACACTTTGGTTTAAAGTGTTCTTCAAAACTTTGCTTAGTGGTGGTGAAATCCTGTTTCATCGCCGAGTCGAAGTTATTGTATATTTGTAGGCAATCATCTCCTATGAAATTTAAGAAAAATGCTAGTTTCCTTTTGTCTGCTGCATTCTACACTAGCCGCTTCAATATGCTCTACTCTTTATAACGAAACTCAAAGGACTGAGCATTTTTTGTCGTTATAGAGAGTTATCGTTATATGGAGTGAACAAAAAAAAAACAAATTAACAAGAATTTTTAATACAAGAATTTTTAATTGTATGTATGTCTTAGATAATAAATGCTTATACATATAAATACCGTACCTTGAACCGTACCGTACCTTGAAGTACCGATTCACCATACTAGGTTTGTCTCCAGTTCATTCACCCTTACTGCCATTCGGCTCTGGAATGCACTTCCTCTAGACGTTCGAAACGCTCCAAACAGGACGGTGTTTAAGAGTTCGGTGCGGGAACATTATTTGAATCTATTGCATAGTGCTTAAGCTGAATCAGGATACTCAAATCGGACACTATATTATAGGTATATTATGTATATATTTATGTATATATGTGTGTGTATGTCTTTATATTTATTTTTGTATGTATGTATATGTGTATGTATTAAACGCTATTTAATTTTGTTTTTTTATTGTTTGATGTTTGTTCTTTCCCATGATTGTCTGCCGTTTTATTGACTCTGCACGTTCTTTCCGGTTGACTGGTAGAGAATGCCATGCTGGCATTAAGTCCGCCATATGCAATGTAAGGCATTAAAGATTAAATAATAATAATAAATAATAATAATAAATTATTGTTTACACATATAGTCTGATAATTTCGTCTGACGTTTTTTGCTATGCCAGTACTTGTTTTGTATTATTTTATGTATTCTATTCATATCTAGATATGTGGTGGAATCGTCTTGATTAAACAACAAAAAATTTTCTACCAACTTAGCGGCATCTAGGGCTTGTTGAATTGTTGGTGGTGATTAGGCTTTGTCCACTTGATCGTCTTCTTCATCTTGATTATCGGGTGTTTCCTGACTTTTTGACACTAAATCAACAATTTGATCATCTGTAAGTGTACCAGTTATGGCTACATCCTCATCTATATTTTCGTACGATTGTAGATCTTCGTTAAAATTGTTTGGTATATTGAACTGGCTTATCCATTCACTCAGTGGTAGATTGTCTTCACTGTTAAATTGGTTCGTTTCTTGGCTACTACATAATCCAGCATGTCGAAAAGAATGTTGGATAGTGGCCGCTGTTACCTCTTGCCAGTCTTTTGATATGAAGTTCACTGCTTGTAGCATGTTGATCGAGACCTTGCCGTCAGTTTCTATCATATCCATCAACATTTTCCGTCTATAGTGGCCCTTTAGGGATTTAATTACACTGTAAAATACTGGTTGTATTAGCTGGGAAAAATGCTAACTCTATGTTTCGAAGATTAGATATGATTGGGTGAGCAGGATAATTGTCTACTAGAAGCAATATTTTCCGTGATTTTAATTCAGCATCCCATTTTCTCACTTCCTCTTCAAAAATCTGCGATGTCATCCAAGCTGACTTATTTGCTTTGTACGTAACTGGCAACTGTTTTATGTTCTTGAAACACAGAGGGTTTTTCGATTTGCTTTCTTTTTTCTGTGCCACTCATATTGGCAGCCACTAGAACTGTAATGCGCTCTTTAGACAGTTTTCCTCCAACACATTTTTCCCCTTTGAATTTTAAAGTTTTGTCGGGAGTCAACTTGAAAAAAAGGCCAGTTTCATCTGCATTAAAAATGTCTTCTGGTGAGTATTTCATCTTTAAATTAGGCCACACTGTACTAATCTAATTGTTAGTCACAATCATATCGACATCGCGCGCCTCTCCGTTCATTTTACCGTACGAAATTTGATGACGGTGCTTAAATTTTCCGAGCCAACCTGCAGATGCTTTAAAGTCAATTATGCCAAGTTGGTTGGCAAACTTTTCAGCCTTAGCTTTTACAATTGGCCCCGAGATGGGTACATTATTCTGGCGCTGATTGTTAAACCACGACAACATTGCCTGATCTAAGTCTTCGAATTTTTGCTTCCTTAATTTTTTAGACAAGTTTCCTTCCAGCGCCTCCTGTAGAATTGTTTTTTGGTTTTTCCAAATGGTAGCAACAGTGGATTGACTTAGTTCAAAACGCCTTCCAACGTCACTTTTCTTTTCTCCCTTTTCAATCGCACGTATCACACAAACTTTTTCGTCAACACTAATCGCTTTCCGTTTACTGGCCATGTTAACAGTTTCAAAGTAGGTTTACGACTGATAATACGATAGGTACCCAGTATGCTTGGTCGAAGACCATCACTTCCGAGAAAACAATGCGTCATACTGCACGTGTATAAGGCAATTAAGGATAACAAAAGCTAGACCGACCTCGGATGTTTCGGAGCTTCAAAGTCGTTTGTTACCTGATAACATAACATAAACAAAAATACCGATAATAAATATTTACTGTCTAAAAATATAAACACATTTCTTCGTAATAGAGAATGGCGTATCGCTATAAAGAGTGTTACAATACGCAAACGCAAACCAACCAACTTGGGCTCACTCCAACGTTATAGGGAGTTTATCGTTATAAAGGATAACGTTATAAAGAGTTTACACTGTATATGTTGAATTGTTGAGAAATTCGTTCCCATTCTTGATAAACATTAGGCACTGCCACGTTTATTGGATTCGGCACTTTTAAATTGGTATCCATGATTGTAATTTACATCTGACACCATGTACAGGTTCAGTGCATAATAAAAGACACAATTAATCTTTTTTATTTATATGATTTTAATTGATTTAATTTTAGATATACATTTAAGTTCCAAAGCACAGTTCACAGATCACCCCCCAGAGTTGCCATTTATAAAGCCCTTTCATGTGTACCATAGATAAATATTAAGTATGACCTTACAATGTGCAACATCTTTTATCAAATGTAGCAAGGTAATGACGTCGTAGGAGATCTCATAATTTTCAAAATTGTGACTATGAAAAGTTCCTGAGACCTTTTTATAGAAATTATAAATATTCAGTCATTGTGCATTAAATATTACTACTAGCTGACCCAGCAAACTTTGTTTTGCCAAATAAATACTATTAAAAAATAGGGGGGTTGGTGACGCAAGGGTGAAAATTGAGGTTTTATGTAAATTTTAAAGCCACATTATAAAACAATAAAAAAAATTGTCCAATAAATAAAAATAAATGTTAGTGGTGGACAACCCTTATCACTTAGGGGTACGAAAAATAGAAAGTAGCCGATTCTCAGACCTTCTGAATATGCATGTAAAATTTCATAAAAATCGATCAAGCCGTTTCGGAGGAGTACGGTAAACTAACATTGTGACACGAGAATTTTATATACAAGAAGTACAATATTTATACATTGTCAGGGCAGTCGCTCATAAAAATTTTTACCATGTACTTTGGAATTCGAAGTAATCACCCCCTATAGGTATAAACTCCTTGGCATCGCCACATGCCGATATCTATATACATAAAACTCAAAGGTGTGACTGACTGACATAGTGATCTAACAACGCACAGCCCAAACCACTGGACGGATCGGGCTGAAATTTGGCATTCAGGTAGATGTTATGACGTAGGCATCCGCTAAGAAAGGATTTTGATCAATTCTACCCCGAAGCGAAGCGAGGGCGGGCCACTAGTTATCAATATAAGTACTATTTTAAACAATATTAATATTTTCATTCTACCTACCGAATGTCCTCCGTCGTTATCCGTTCCGTTTCGATCGAAAAGATTTTCATAATAATAGTTAATGTCTTGGGTTTCTGTAGATTTTACTTATTTTCTGGTTAATTTCTAGCCGTAGTAGTTCCTATACAAAATTATTAAAATAAACAATAAAACGTTAACATATCGAGAACATGAAATAAATGTTTATTGAGGTTTCACTGTTTGTTGTCTTCGTGTTCGGTGTTTATTGAAGCTGATGTCATGTCGGCTTCGAGGCAGGGCCATCTGCAGGTCGATATTACTTGCGCTGTGGAGTGATGAAAATGCATATAAGTGTGTGATTGTGGTGAACAAAGGCATATAAATATACATATATATTGTTCCGTAGCGTAAAAGATTTTTATTAAGATAACACATATTGGAAGATTGTAATTTATTTCCTTTTTTTAATTTATGTATGGGGTAGGTGACAAACCGTATTTTCTAAAAGATTTTTTTTTTCTTTTTTATAGTTAGGTCCGACAAATGACTCCACCCCACCTGATGTTAAGTGAAGGTGAAGTCCAGACGCGAAGATAGCTGATACAGCAGTTCTACCTGCCACACCAGCCATCCTCACCCTGCCGGCCTGCATGTTGCTTCTTCACGCCTCTTTTAAAGGATCCCAGGTTGTAAGAGGGAGGGAACACGTGAGCGGGCAGAGCATTCCATTTACGGATAGTGCGACAAAGAAATGAGTCACCAAATTTCTTTGTACGCGTTGGAATTGTGGCCACAGTAAGACGGTGACAACGTAGGCCAGCGCGCGTGGTCCTCTGAAGGAAAGGGGAAGGTGGGATAAGAGAGAATAACTCCTCAGAACACTCGCCGTGGTACAAACGATAGAACGCGCTTAGTGACGCCACGTCACGGCGTAATTGAAAAGGCTCAAGGTGTTTAGTCACCTCCTCATCGCCTATGATGCGGATCACGCGCCGCTGTAACCTATCCAAAGCATCGAGCAAGTACTTGGCGGAGCCATCCCAGAGGTGCGAGCAATATTCCACGCAGGACCGCACTTGCGTTTTGTACAACAAGCACAGTTGATCGGGCGTGAAAAAACGCCGCACCTTGTTCAGGACACCGAGTTTGCGTGAAGCTGTTTTGATCACGGTTTCGATGTAGTCCTTTGGATTCAGGTCTGAGCGAACTTCCATACCGAGCATGGAAATGTTGCTCTGCAGCGGTAGTGTTGTGCCCTGAAGAGATGGAAGGGGAAGGAATGGCGATATTTTTGCCGTGAAAGCGCAAGCCTGAGTTTTCTTGGCATTGAACTCAACCAAGTTCCTGGTACCCCATTCGGAAATGTGGTCCAAAGCCTGATCGAGTTCAATGACAAGATTTTCCCGTTTCTCCTTGGTTACTGCCTGGCCCAGCCGCTGCTTGTCCGAGATACCCCGCATGCACTGTACTGTCGTCTGCATAGCAATGAATATTCCCAAGAGGAATCAAGTCATTGATATGCAGCAGCAAGAGAGTGGGGATAGGACGGAGCCCTGGGGAACGCCGGCATTCACTGACATGAACCGCGAACTGCTACCATCCGTAAGGACACGAATTCTACGCTCATGCAGGAAGTCAGCTACCCAAGAACAGAACTGGGCTGGCAGACCGTATGCCGGAAGCTTGGAGAGAAGGCTTTTGTGCCAGACCCTGTCGAACGCCTTGGCAATGTCAAGGCTGATAGCCAACGACTCGCCACGCTTGTCGATAGCCTCACCCCAGATATGAGTTAAGTACGCTAGAAGATCACCCGTCGATCGTTTCGGTCTAAATCCATATTGACGATCATTAATCAGGGAGTGATCCTCTAGGTAGCGGGTCAGATGGTTATTAAGGTCCTTTTCTAGAACTTTACATAAAACTGAGGTGACTGCTATTGGCCGATAGTTTGCCGGGTCTGAGCGATCCCCTTTTTTGGGCACCGGTTGCACGTTAGCATCTCTCCAAGTCTCCGGCACACGCCCCAAAGAATACGAGCATTGGTACAAGCGCGTGAGCACGGGAGACAACTCCGCTGCACATTTTTTAAGTACTACTGCTGGGATGCCATCAGGTCCACTAGCTTTCCGGACGTCGAGTGATTGCAATTCGGCACGAACCTCACGCTGCCTGATTTTAATATCAAGCATCGTTGTGCCACAGTGAGGTAATGATGGTGGCAGTGCATTGCAATCATCGATTCGGGAGTTAGCCGCAAAGAGTTTTGCCAGTAAATCGGCTTTCTCCTGCGGCTTATGAGCTAGTGTTCCGTCTGGGCATCTCAGAGGTGGCAGCGAGGGCTGGCAGAAGTTTTTTTGCACGGCCTTGGCCAAACGCCAGTAGCTACGGGAGCCCGCAGGATGCGTTATAAGTTCCTGGCCAACACGTGCAACACGCTGGGCATCCGCTCTGATGTAAGCCTTCTAACAGGCCTTGGAAGCAGAATTGTAGGCTGCTTTGAGTGAATCGACCCCGGGATCCTTGAGAGCGCGGCCTCTGATCCAAGCACGATATGCCGCTTGCTTACGCGAAGCAGCTTCAGCACAGTCGTGATTGAACCAGAGGTTACGTGTGCCCTTACTGATGAGATCAGAATGAGGAATATAGTATTCCATACTGTATGATAAAAGCCGGGGTTCGGCGACTTACCGCAAACGCTCCTTACACCGCCACGGGTACCTAGGGCTAGGCTTCAGAACGGGGTTCGTCAACGCTCTTGGGAAACTATTGCCGGCAATGTATCGCACATAGGAGTCCACAGGTCAGAAGGTTCACGATATCTTCCAGAGAAAATGGGTACTCTCACTTGATGTAACGGAAATTCGTTTCGAGCTGTTGATAGCTGCTTACACATCGGGGACTCGAAGTGAACTACTCGCACATTGGTGCCGGCGTCGGCCGTAAAGTCGTACCAACACACAAGGCACAGTGGTAGGCTCAGAACGAAAATACGGTTTGTCACCTACCCCATACATAAATAAAAAAAAAGAAAAAAATACAATCTTCCAATATGTGTTGTTTTATTAAAAAATCTGTTACGCTACGGAACATGCCGCTCACCTTAAAGGGACGTAAGTGCCTTTAACTTGAATCAATGAATGAAAATAAAAAAAATATATATTAGAGAGAATGCAAAAAAAAACTTAAGTACTAAGATTTGATTCGTAACGATATAAACTAATCAATAGGAAGCGGGCACACCTTAACAACGGGCCGCTTGAAAAGAGTACTACCCCTACGTAGTGTTATGACGCGAGTTATGTTGTCAGATCCGGGATGAAGAGCATGAACACGCGCAATTTTCCATTGCAGAGGCGGGAGATTGTCGTCGCTCACCACTACAACAGTACCCTCACGGCTACTTGGACCTCGATCAGAAAACCATTTTTGACTTTGCTGCATTTCGTGTAAATATTCTTTACTCCATCTTTTCCAAAATTGCTGAACGGATTGTTGAACCCAACGCCACCGTGTAAGACGATTAGGATTCTCATCCACCAAGGAAACATCAGGCAAAGAAGTCAAAGGTTCTCCTATCAATAAGTGTGATGGAGTTAGGGGAAGCGGTTCCGGTGAAGCACTCGTGGCGCAAAGCGGACGCGAATTTAACACGGCCTCTATTTGGCAGAGAAGAGTGTGCATCTCATCATAAGTTTGAGTGCGAGTGCCAACTACACGGTACAAATGATGTTTAAAGCTTTTGACACCCGCCTCAAATAATCCACCGAAATGACTGGCATACGGAGGCTGAAAGTGCCACGTTATGCCTTGTTGGAGTGTAAGCTCGTTTAATTGATTCTGGACAGCGTTACTGCGCAAGAATGCATACAAATCCTTTAAATAATTATTGCACCCAATAAAATTCTTTCCGCAATCCGAATAGATGTCGGTACATAAGCCTCGGCGCGAGGTAAAACGTCGGAGAGCGGCCAGAAAAGCTTCCGTGGAAAGCTCAGACACAAGTTCCAAATGTATGGCCTTAATGCTCATACAGACAAAAACCGCGACGTAGCACTTAATAACCTTTGCATTACGCACCTTATTTGCACGCACATAAAATGGACCGGCATAATCGACAGCGGTCTTAATGAATGGTCGCGCGGGACGCAAACGAGACACCGGCAGTGGTGCCATGCGCGGCTGGTTACGAGCGGGGCGCGCGCGGAAACAAGTAACGCAGCGGTGAATGCGTTGACGCACTATATCTCGACTAGATAGGATCCAATATCGCTGCAATAATAAGTATTGGACGGTTTGTGGGCGGGCGTGCAAATATTTTATATGCGCATCGTCAATAATAAGATTAGTCAAATTATGTTTTTTCGGCAAAATTAACTGATGTTTAGAATCGTACGATAAAAGAGACTTATGTAATCTACCACCCACGCGTAATAATTTATTATCATCTAAAAATGGTGTTAAGCGTCGTAATTTATTAGAGGGAAATTTTCCTAGTGAAATGCTTTTAATATCATCACTAAATACACACTGTTGAACTAAAGAAATAAGTCTAGTCAAAGCAAAATTGTACTCTGGCACTGTTACATAGTCCGAATAAGATTTTTTGTATTTTTTACATTTAAAATAAAATCTAAATATTAAAGCCGTTACTCGAACGCACTTTCCTAAGCTACTAAATCGAGAAATAATATCCACGTCCTGTATAGGAGCTATTGAAGTTAAATTTGAACTAACCGAAACCTTGATACGCTTTTCCTCCTCTGTAGTATAATCTACTGTTGACGAGGGCCAGTGAGTTCGATCTTGACGGAGCCAAGATGGACCATGGAACCATAAGTCATGTTCCACAAACGCACCAGGCAGCATGCCACGAGATGCAGCATCTGCAGGGTTGTCTGCCGACGGAACATGATGCCAACGTTCAGCAGGAACGCGTGAAAGTATATCGCTAGTCCGATTCGAAACAAACGTTTTCCATTCGTGTGGTGGTGATCGCAGCCACGCTAACACGATGGCCGCATCGGACCAAGCATAAACTTGATCAATAATAACGTAATCCGAGAATATATCTAATGTTTGTTGTAAAAGCTTGGACAATAATAGGGCTGCCATCAGCTCAAGGCGCGGGATCGTTAAAAGTATACGAAGTGGAGATACGCGAGTTTTCGCCATAATAAGTGAAGTGCGAATGTGCCCGTCCTTGCCCGTAAGGCGTACATAGACACAGGCTGCATAAGCCTTCTCCGAAGCGTCAGCAAATCCGTGAATTTGAATTGATTTATGTTCCGGAAATATGTGACGGGGAAATGATACTTTGGAAATAAA